AAATCATTTGGTGAAAAAAAAAAAGGTGGGTACCAGTTTTGCTGGTCTGATAGAGCCTGGTGGAACCACTGAGACTATGGCCCCTAGCTGCCCTTCAAGTCTGGAATGAACCCACAGCTGTGGTTTCCAGCTAAACAAAAGACTGGCATAAGAGTTGAACATTTACTTCAAGTAGATACACTCCTTGGGGAGAAGAATCGTGGGAGAAAGAAGGGCTGCTTATTCAGAGGGAGACAGCTCAGGGGGCAGGAGTGTATAGAGTGATGGCCACTGGGAAGTTGTACTATGGGGAGGAAGTGGGTGGGGAGCTGTTGCTGTGGTCAATGACATGAGACAAAATATATGTGAACTGCTATATGGAAAGTGAATTTGCTCTGTAAATCTTCACCCCAATTACAAAAAAAAAAAAGATTGATGCAGGAGTTAAAATTTTGGAAATTATTCTTATAATAGAAGGGACAAAGAATGAGTGGCTGGAAGGGAAACCATATGGTCCCTTTTTTATTCTCTTCTCTTTTTCTTTCAGAGGCTGGCACAGAAAATAGCCAGGCATTCCTAGTGTGGGTCCTATCCCAATTTCTTATCTCCTGAAGAAGGAGAAGCTATTGTGTGTGGCAGAATCAGCTAGTTAATGTCCTAAATATCTGTGGGTTCAAGAGAAGGTGCACTGCTAGATTAGTGCTACATTATGAAAATGAGTTAATGCCCTTTGTTCCTGTTTAGCCTGTACTATAAAATAGTGTCTGAACTCCAAGGAAAGGAGGAAAACAAGACGCCTTTCTGTCTCTCATTCATTTAAATGAGATGGGATAGGAATTTTAAATCAAGCCACGATTTTAGTCATTGTTTTAGTCATTGTTTAAAGTGAAAGGCATTTATCAGCTTATGAAAAGTTTTGGGCCTACTGCTGCAATTACCGAAGTTTTATTAGTTACTTAACAAGAATTCTTACAAAAAAAGTTGTACATGTCCACCCTAGTAGTTTTTCCCCATTAACAGTTTCCTTGGCCTAGTCGATAATCTCTTTTGTGGTAACAGTCTTTGACTGTCACTTTGGACAATGATTTTTAAAATATGAAAATTTGTTGGGGTTAAAGGATAAGCAACTTATTTTTGCCATATTATATAAGTCAGTGGTCATTGCTGAAATAGTTTCCTTTATTGTCTGGTGTTTATACAAAGCCAGAGGAACAAGTGATTTACATACCAAATAAAATCTTTTTATAATTGTTTTTTTCCAAATCACCGTTTTTCTTCACTCTTCTTAGTTGCTTTGAAATTTGCAAGAATAATTCTTTAAAGTGTTAAATAACTTATCTTTTGGAAAATAATTGGAAACTTTCCAGAAGATATTTGGCTACTTTGGATTTTAGTGCTATGTTTTCTCTACAATTTTACAATTTATAATGATCTCAAACATAAAGCCAGAAACATCACGTGTAACCTTAAAAGTGGAAGAATTATGTCATAGCTTTTTGTAGTACTCAGGATATTGAATCCTTATTTACTTCTTCAGTTTCTAGAATGGAACCTTAACGTTCTCAGTCAGATTTGGACTTCTTCCAGCGTTACTGTATTTCCTGCAAATCTTATAATTAATGGATACTTGGCAAGTATTGGATGGTATAGAAGAGAGTTATTGTTTTATTCATTAGATTAGAAAAATACTTTCCACAATAAATTTGTTCTGTTGTTACATAAATTGCAGTCATCTGCTTAAGACTAGCCACTGTATTCCAAAGTTTTTATCTTTTTAGGCATTCCTAATATTTCAGTCTGAAATTTCAGTCCTTGTTAGAGTGAGACTGAAATTGATAAAATTAAATATAAAACCTTTGGTTAATGAATAACATTTCCAATTTAAATTTAGGAAGAAATAAACTTTCTGGGTTCTTTTGTATTTGACTTAACATATAAGTAGATGTTATAGTTATATGTTATATCAGGGAACAATTTAAAGAAAAAACCCTGAGAATCAATAACTTCTCAACTGCGATATGAAGAGGCTGAGGCTCAGGATTTTAAAAGCTTCTCCAGATGATTCTTACATAGTCAGGTTTCAGAGACACTTGTCTAGACCAACTCATCTGTTGTTTGAATTCCTTAAATTCCTACTAGGTGGTCATCTATCTGAGTCTGGAGAGGTTTTCAAGATAGTTCATTTAGTTTTGTCCTTTAAGAATTTCTGGGTATGTTCTTCATGATAGACTATACTGCTAAAATTCCTTAAGGTCTTAAAATTCATTGAATAGTATAATGACCAATGTGTAGTCAGGATCATATTAAAAACAGCTTTTAAACTCATTGAACATATATTTGTAGGAAAAGTACAAGTCTTACAATTTATCCTTTAAAAGTTTTGCACTTAGTCTTAGATTGTAGAAATTTGTTCATGATCTGAAGTATGGCTTTGAAGAATGACTTCACATCTCAAAGTGCTTCCTAAGCCTGTTTTCCTCCATCTCCTAAAATATACCTTAAATAAAGTTGGGTCATCTGGGAGTACTAGTTCTCCTCTCTGTAGTTTCTATTAGAGAATATGTATAAAAAGGAATTTGTTACATTATTAAACAAACACCTTTTTGGTAGCCCACTGTGAACATAGGCAGGCTGAACTATATATGCATTTAACAGAATTTGAAATGCAAAATATTAAACCTAAGAGTCCAACATGAATAGATACTCACAGAGAAGCAAAAGTTTTCTAACTTATAGAGACATACATGTACAACAAGTAGTCTCTCCAAGGTGTTTATTGATCAACATAAAAAATGATTCAAGACTGGAAAGGAGGGAGAATTTTATTTTAACTTGCTGGAAACATTAGGGAGGGAGAGAAGAAGGAGGAGAAAAACTTATCATGAATGAGCATAAGTGAGCACAAAGTCGTTGTCTGATTCCAGCACACATTCTTTAAAACCCCTGAAAGCATCTTGAAGGACCATTTTCTGTTGATTCTTTTATACTGAAGAGCTAGTCTTTGTCTTTAAATAGCAGATCTGCATACAGATTCCTTTGGTGAACTGGAATTTTTCCTTAAAGTTCCAAAATACATTTGCCCTCTCTCTCACTGGTTACTTTGAAATACTACAGTTTTCACCAATTATTGTGTTTTATAATTTCTTTTGGGAGAAATTGACATAATTTCTTGTAACCAAACTCATTTCTGAAATGAGCACAATAATGATTAATCTTTAAATTGATAGTTCTGTTGGAAGGGTGCTTAATAGTCCAAAAAAGTGAATCATCAAGGAATTATTTACATGTCCTGTTGAAACACAGTCTCTGAGTACTTTTTTAGATGACTTGACCTTTTTAATCATCTTTTGCTTAAACTGATACTAATGTTAGTGGACATTTCTTGAATTTACAGCAAATAATGTTATTATCCAGGAAGTTTGTGGTTGGCAGAGGAGAAAGATGAGAGAATTAAAAAATAACAAAGTCAAAATCTATTTTCTAGTTAATAAACATTTATATAATATGTTCAGCATTGTTTATGTTAAGTCAGCAGAAGTTGAATGAGTATTTTCTTTTGCTGCAGTAATTCTCTCTCTCTCTCTCTCTCTCTATATATATATATATACACCAAGAAGAATCAGCAACACTAAATATTATAGAACTGTGGACATTAAAAATAGCTGTTATTGTGTTCTTTTAGGTCTTAAGTTGACTTTACATTGATGTGCTCAGGAGTAGTAAGGTATAAAATTATTCCTCCAGGTATAATTCTGAACAGATTTTGTTTTAAATATTTATTAGGTTTCAACACTGAAATTCTCAATCAAGCATGGGAATTAGATACAATCTATGCCCTGGAGATTGAAACCGGCACAGTTGAGTAGTTCCACACTGGTGTAATTATGATCAGCCTAACATCTGGAATAATCAGTTTTAAATGTTTAACTATTCTGAACTCTGACCCAAATCCAAATACGCAGTTATAAATAGATTTTCCTCTTAATAGTCAAGATAGTTAACAATTAGGACAGCACTCTAATTATTTTTTAGGATGTTTATACATTTGGCAAAATCCTCCAAACAGTAATGTTTTATAGTAAATTTTAGTTGATAAAAAGCCTCTTAAAAATTTTTAACTTGGCTAAGAGCATGAAAAAAATAATGTAATTACTTAGACATTTACTCTAGAAATAGAGTTCTCCATGGAATTCTTGAGATGAGTGCTACATGGTATTGTAATTTTTTCCTCCAAGAAAGTAATTCTGTGTATAACAACTTATTCTTTTTGTTGCTGCTGACATTTCCTTTTGGTCAGTAGAGGGAGCACAAGTTTTCTAACAAACCCTTAATCAAGGAACTAAAGTGACATCATCAGTGATGTTGTTAAAGGGGGAAATTCTTGGCTAGTTCATATTGGTTCATGTTCCATGAGTCATGAGAAAAATTAAACATACCAAGATGAAAGCTGAAAACCATCCAGATAAAATGGGATATCGTTTATAACTTTGGAGACCATATTTTAAGCTGAGATATACATTTACAGGGAAAAGTTGACAAAGTTCTTTTAGAATTTAAAAATCTGAGTTGCAATGTATACTGATTCTAATGTTTCAAATTAATGTTACTGGAGGCTTTTTTTTTTTTTTAATTTGATTCCCTTATCATTAATTTTAAAAGTCATTCTAGGCCACCTGAAATGGTTTACTTAAGTGACATGCCAGATTTTGGTACAACAAAAGAAGTAGTGATTTATGTGTGGGCCATTTATGTTTTTATATGTTTCAGGAAGGACTAGATTTTTTTTCCCCCCAGAACAGTGTCCTGACAGCTGATTGCATTGTAATTAAGGACTTAGAGATAGCTGCCAATGAGGACACTCCAACTCACAGCAATCCTGTGTACAACAGAATGAAACATCGCCTGGTCTTACGTCATCCCCATGATTGCTAGTCTGTTGGAGTCCAATGTTGCAGCCATGAGCCAGTTCATCACAACAAGGGTCTCCTTCGCCCTTGCTGGCACTCGCTTTACCAAACGTGATGTCTCTTCCAGCAGTTAATTTTCCTGATGACATGTACAAAGCAAGTGAGTTGAATAATATCCTTTTGTCATCCAAAGGTTTTCACTGGCAAATTTTCAGAAGTAAGTTGCCAAGTGCCACTGAAACTTGCCTAACATCGGTGACCCTGCTGGTATTTGAACTACTGGTGGCATAGCTTCCAACATCATAACAACCTGCATGCCACCATAATATGACTGACACACGCACACAAAAATCTTACACCAGAAAGTTTTCTGTAAATGTAGTTGGTAGTTCCAGTGGATTGTTTACTTGTTTTATAAGCATTTAATGAGACATGAAAGATGATCATTATTTTTATCAAAAGTTATTAACTGATGTATGAATGGTGCTATTCAGAGTACTCTATGAAGAAAATCAGATGTCAGGGTTGCTTATTTGTGATACTGTGTTAGGGTTAAGTAGAGAGAAAACCAAGACAGTTAATCTCTATAGAATCTTAGAGCCATCAAATTAATGTCATCGAACATTTTTATAACACTTCTACACTATTTTTTAACTTTTTGTTTGTGTGGTTAAGTTCTTTAAGTTAAATAGGGCCAATGCAGGTAGGTTCATTTTTATGCAGGCATTAATTGAAATGTATTGAGATTCAGTAAGCTATTCAAGGTCATATAGTGCATTAATTAGTATAGTCAACAAACCCTGAATCCAGAGCTCTTGACTCCTAGTTCAAGGAGTTGCCAATTAAGAATTTACCTTGCAGGAAAATTGTTTAAATCACCAGTCCTTTGTTAAGTGCCAATTTTATTCAAGGCATTGTGACATTAGTTTGAGAGAAAAATGAGAAAAATTAGTATTTGTCCAATAAGCTATGTTGTGTAGTGAAATACAAATAGTTGGCAAAGACTGTTTAAAACAATAGCATATTTATTAAATATGAAAACTAAGGGTGCTTTTGAAGGCTTATTAAGTAAATAGTTAAGAAGAGGATTTGGAGGATATAACCAAGCAAATTACCCAGTAACATGTGAAGAGAATGGCTCTGAGATTGTGGGGCTACATTTCTTAAAGGAAGTAGCATTTTATATTTACTTAAATATCATGACTGAGGCAGCCAGTTTGAGTAGGGTGGTTTAAAAAACGATTTTTAGTTAACAGAGAATTCTATATCATATAATAATAGAGATAGATGAGATTTTGGAGACTGTCTGGCCTATTCACTAATTTTACATCTAAGGAAACTGAGACCCAGAGTGATTCTGAATCACTTGTCCAAGGTTGGTCACAAAGCTAGATTGGACTGGAACTGACATTAGATCCCTTTCAGGTGTTTGGATATGGAAAAAACAAGGAACAGTGAAACATTGATAACAGAATCATAAAGGTGGCAAATTGTGGAACTGTATGGGCATGTAGAGTATAATTTTTGCAGAGATAATGATGTCCAGCAGTCTTTCAAAGAGGAATAAGAGAACTGCTGGGTAGTTTATGGTTTCTTGGACAGAGTCTCCAATTCCGTCCAATTAGTGCTGCCTTAGTTCAGCCTACCACTGTTTTACATCTTAATTTCTGCCACAACCTCTCGTTTTACACTCACCGAACTGCTCTTCATAGTGTGTTTCTGCCACTAGTGAGTTTTCTGTAACAAACTTTTAGGACTCCGCTGGGAATCAGCTCTTTCCGGAACCTTTGCTCTATTGCAACTCCTTACCTCTTGCTTCCCTGTTCTATCCATCACCTTCACCGTCCTCTCCCCCAGTTTGAATTCATTATCTTTCCTTCCTATTCTTCCTTTATAACTCCATGATACCATATGTGTTTCTCTGTTATAAAGCCTAGCACACTGTGGTGTAATCCTTCATGTGTTGGTCTCCCCAAGTAGACTATTAATTTTTTATTTTTAAGTTGTTTAATACTACTTTATTTAGGGATTCCATTTTTACTGTTCAATAGATTTTATTTATTTTCCATATGCCTTTTCACTCATTAGTTCATTGAGTTCTGAAGGATTACTCAGTGTCATCTTGATCAGCCAACCATCTTCATAACAGGATTTGTTAACATGCCCTGGATTTTCTGTAAGAGCTTCGTTAATTTCTGTTACTTCTCCTGATACAGGAGAATAGAATTCACTAACAGCTTTCGTACTTTCCAAAGCACCAAAATCATTTTGTTTGTTCAATTTTGTCCCTATTTCAGGAAGAACACAATAAATAACATCTCCCAAACTTCCTGTGCAATACCATTTTCTGTTGTTACCCATTAATATTTATGAATTTATGCACTAAGAGTAGAGCACAGCCTGTGTGCAGTGTCCACACAGTACCTGGGTCCCCTGTGCCATGGAAGGCAGGGTGTGCAGGGCGCTAAGAGATTATTAACTTCTTGAAGGTAAGGCCTACCTTGTGCATCTAGCTAGCACATTGTCTGAATGGGAAGAAGATTCTGATGAAATAGTTGTGATCCTGAATTCCTGGACAGTTGGTTGTATTTCTAGAAGCAAAAAGTTAAAGGTAAGCAAGAGCAAAGTAGACCTTACTGTTTGTATTCTTTTATGTAAAATTTGTATGAGTTACCTAAATACATAATGGAGTAGGCCCTTTGAAAATGTAAGCAACATAAAATTGGAAGTAATGTTTTCATAAAGAATTAAACTGAAACATCATTTGTGTTTTGTGTATCTTTTGGTTAGGTGCTGTGATTGTCTCCACGCCCCAGGACATTGCACTAATGGATGCACACAAGGGTGCTGAGATGTTTCGAAAAGTCCACGTGCCTGTAAGCATTCACAAAAATATGAAACTCTTTTAAATGAAGAATCAAATTGTTGAAAAAATTCAAGTTTTAATTTAGTTTTGTGCAGAAATCTGTATGAAAATATCATCAAAATTCTACTTCATCTTTCTGGTTACTTTAAAACACACATATTAGAAATCACATGAATACATGCTATATTAATTAAAAAGAATCTTAAAATATATTTCAGGGTTGAGTTTTCTGAAGAAGTACTATTTCTCTCAAATAATTACATCTATCACTGAAAAAATAAGAGTGTTTTAGGAAATAATTCAGGGACATAGACTTGAGTAGATCACCAGTGGTGAAACAGGTGAAAAAGAACTTTTTTCCTACTGTCTCCTACAATTTAACTCATGTATAGCCCACCTTTTTCTAAAAAGTAAGGCTTTTTCTATACAATATGGCCAAGTAAAACACATTAGAAATAAAACAAAGAATAATTAAAATCACTTCGTAAGTGAAATCAGTAAGCAAAATGTATGCCAGCAGCTTAAATTGTTAGAGCTAGGCCATGAATTTTTTAGCAGCCAAGAGTCAAACCAAACTGTCCATTTCTCCCAAAAAACGTTGGGTGCTCAGTAGAAACAGTGCTGAGACCTGAGAGGCATATGTCCCCTAGGTTGTCAGAAAGAGGAAACTGTGTATGCGGTGGACATGTCCTCATTACCTTCTTTAAAGTAAATAGAAGATTCCTTTTTCTATTGTGCATCAGCAAAAGCAAGTGGCATTGTGCCAGTATACAATTTAGAACAAGTATTTCAATGCAAGCCCAATGTGATATATACAACTTTGTACCATTTTAGTGGTCTGAGTTAATTTAGGGATAGATTTTAAAGTTTATCAAGCAGACCTTTTTGAACCTCAGCCCATTAGCTTCAGAATTAGCTTCAGAGGTCCCATGGTCCACACCCCAAAATTGTATGCTCAAGTTTGTTTTGGTGTAGAGAAAATTTATAACTTTCATCAGATTCTTCATTGAGATCATCACACAGGAAAAGAACCAACAATGGATGGATCTTAATGTTGTTTTGATTGTTGTCATATGCCATCAAGTCGACTCTGACTCATAGAGACCTTATTGTGTACAACAGAATGAAATACCACCTGGTCCTGTGCCAGCCTCATGATTCCTACTATATCTGAGTCCATGGCTGCAGCCACTTAGTCAACCCATCTTGTTGAAGGCCTTCCCCTTTTTCATTGACCCTTCATATTACCAAGCATGACATCCTTCTCCAGGGAATGATCCCATCTGACAACATGACCAGAGTAGGTGAGTCAAAGTCTGGCTATTCTTGCTTCCAAGGAACACTCTGGCTGCACTTCTTCTAGGACAGATTTGTTAGTTCTTTTAGCAGTCCACAGTACTTTCAGCATGCTTCACCAACACCACAACTCAAAAGCATCAACTCTTCTTCAGTCTCCCTTACTCATTGTCCAGCTCTAACATGCATATGAGGCAATTGAAAATACCATGGCTTGGGTTAGGTGCATCTTAGTGTTCAAGGAGACATCTTTGCTCTTCAGCATTTGAAAGAGGTCTTTTGCAACAGATTTGCCCAATGCATATACATCTTTTGATATCTTGACTGCTGCTTCCATTGGTGTTGATTGTGGAACCAAGTAAGAAGAAGTCTTTGACAACTTCAGTCTTTTCTCCATTTATCGTGATGCTGCTTATTGGTCCAGTTGTGAGGATTTTTGTTTTCTTTTTAGTGAGGTATAATCCATACTGCAAACTATAGTCTTTAATCTTCAGCAGTAAGTGCTCCAAGTCATCTTCACTTTCAGCAAGCAAGGTTTTGCCATTTTCATATCACAAGTTGTTAATGAGCCTTCCTCCAATCTTGATGCCCCATTATTCTTCATATAGTCCAGCTTCTTGGATTACTTGCTCAGCATACAAATTGAGTAAGTATGGTGAACGGATACAACCCTGACACACTCTCTTCCTAATTTTTAACCATGCAGTATCCCCTTGTTTGGTTCGAAGGACAGCCTCCTAGTCTATGTACAGGTTTCTCATGAGTACAGTCAAGTGTTCTGGAATTCCTATTCTTCTCAATGTTATCCACAATGTGTTATGATCCACACAATTGAATGCCTTGGCACAGTCAGTGAAACACAAGTAAACATCTTTCTGGTATTCTTTGCTTTGAGTCAAGATCTGTCTGACATCAACTATGATGTCCCTCACTCCACGTCCCCTTCTTAATCCAGCTTGCATTTCTGGAAGCTCTCTGTCAGTATACTGCTGCAACTGCTTTTGAATTATCTTCAGTAAGATTTTACTTGTGTGTGATGTCAATATTGTTCGATAATTCTGTGGGATCATCTTTCTTTAGAATGGGTACAAATATGGATCTCTTCCAGTCAGTTGGCCAGGTAGTTGTCTTCCAGATCTCTTGGGATAACTGAATGAGTGCCTCCAGCGGGGCATCCATTTGTTAAAACATCTCAATGGGTATTCCGTCAATCCCTGGAACCTTATTCTTCACTACTTCCTTCAGTGCAGCTTCGACTTCTTCCTTTAGTACTGTTGGTTCTTGATCATATGACACCTCCTGAAATGGATGAACATCAACCATTTCTTTTTGGTACAGTGATTCTGTGTATTCCTTCCATCTTCTTTTGATGTTTCCTGCATCATTGATTATTTTGCCCATAGTATGTTTCAGTATTGCAGCTCAAGGCTTGAACGTTTTCTTCACCTCTTTCAGCTTGAGAAATGCTGAGCGTGTTCTTCCCTTTTGGTTTTCTAACTCCATCTTTGCACATTTCATTATAATAGTTGACTTTGTCTTCTTAAGCCGCTCTTTGAAATCTTCTGTTCAGCTCTTTTATCTTGTCAATTCTTCCATTTCCTTTAGCTACTTTCCATTCAAGGGCAAGTTTTAGAGTCTCCTCTGACATCCATTTTGGTCTTTTCTTCTTTTCCTATCTTTTTAGTGACCTTTTGCTTTCTTCATGGATGATGTCCTTAATGTCATCCAACAATTCCTCTGGTTTTGGTCATTGGTTTCAATGCATCAAATCTATTCTTTAGATGGTCTCTGAATTCAGAAGGATATAATAAGCAAGGTCATATTTTGGCTCTCATGGACTTGTTTTAATTGTCTTCAGCTTTAGCTTGGACTTGTTTTATGAGCAACTGATGGTCTTTTCCACAATGCGCTCCTGGCCTTGTTTTGCCTGAAGTTATTGAGCTTCTACATCACCTCTTGCCACAGATGTAGTCAATCTGATTCCTGTGTACTGCATCTGGTAAAGTCCACGTGTATTGCTGCCATTTGTGTTGTTGAAAAATGGTATTTACAATGAATAAGTCATTGGTCTTGCAAAACTCTATCATGTGCTCTCCAGTGTCATTTCTATCACCAAGGCCATATTTTCTGACTACCGGTGATTCTTCTTTGTTTCCAACTTTTGCATTCCAGTCACCAGTGATAATTAATACATCTTGATTGCATGTTTGGTCAATTTCAGACTGCAGAAGTTGGTAAAAATCTTCAATTTCCTCATCTTTTGCTTTTCTGGTTGGTGTGTAAATTTGAATAATAGTAGTATTAATTGGTCTTCCTTTTACGCATATGGATATTAGCCTATCACTGACAGCATTGTACTTCAGGCTAGATCTTGATACATTCTTTGTGATGATGAATGCCACGCCATTCTTCAGTTTGTCATTCCTGGCATAGTAGATGATATTATCATCTGATTCAAAATCCATTAATAGACATCTGAAAATTATTATTAAAAAATATTAAATCTAGTATATTAATTAAATATATAATCTAGTATGTTAATTAATTAAATTATTAAATCTAGTATAGGAATATATAGGTTGAGATGATCTTCCTCAATAAATACCCCCAAGTGCAGCTCTTGCCATTCAGTGCAAAGCTGGGTACATTGACTAACTGTGGAGCTCTGGATTGGATAGACATACTTTTGTGAAAATTGAGAAGTCTGAAAAAGAGGACACCTGTATATTTTCCTTACAGTTGATCTGAGGTTATTCTCAGTAGCAGGATAAAAAATATGTTCAGATAGTATTTCATTTATTTACAGCTTTTACGTCTGAATAAATGAAAGATCAAAAATCCCTGTGTTGTGAATTTTAGCCTGGAAAAATTTAAAAACACTGATAATCAAGTACTCCCCTTAGACAGAATCAATAAAGCACCTACAACACTCCTAGCTTTGAAGTTCCCATTATGCCCTCCGAGAGAAACTATATATACAGATAATACATGCTGCGATGAGTAAGGTGACTTATTATATGGGATTTTAAGATGTAAATCAGCAAAAAGTTGGAGAGAAAGTTATCTGCCAGAAGTTAAGACACTGAGTTAGCAATAAGTAATCTATAATCCTCCTGTTAACAGAAATTAGGTCACAGGGTCTGTTAAGGTCATTTCAAGGTCAGGATAATAACCATTCCATCTACACTTAAGTGCTTAACTTCTCATTCTAAAAGTGGAAGTTGAGGCATGTGCATCAAAAACATCATAAAATCCTCGAGCAAAATTTCTAAAAGAGCTGGAGCCAGAACTTTCTCTCCCTCGCCCCCATCCTTCTTCTCAATTATGGTTTGGTATATAAAGAGATCATTTCAGATGATCCTGCCACTTGAAATGATCATTGTGATGGAGCAGGTCCTAAATTTGCTTTGCCATGTAGGAGTCTAATTTGACCATGAGTTGTCAAATTCGGCATATGTACCTTTCAGGCTTTGTTATTTGTTTATCTGTATCACTTGCCACTTTAAAAACTTGTTGCTGCCGAGTTGATTCTGACTCATAACCACCCTGTAGGACAGAGTAGATCTCTGCCTTCTAGGATTTCCAAGGCTGTAAATCTTTACAGAAGCAAACTGTCACATCTTTTTCCCCTGGAGCAATCAGCGAGTTCAAACTGCCCACCTTTCAGTTAGCAGCCAAATGCTTAACCAGTGCCTCACCAGGGCTCCTCACTTG